TGTTGTTTGGCGGGCCCGGGCTGGATTCGAACCCGCCACCTTAGGTGTATGTGGCTAGCGCCTTAGCCGCTTGAGCCACAGGTGCCGAGCCTTGAGTTCTAGTATTATGAGTGACTTTCCTTCTTTATACTTTTCAGTACTTTGTACATTTTCTCTGTTGATGTTATTTGCAGAAACATTATTTTTTAAATTAAACATTGTTTTGTTCAAATTTGTCATCCTTTGAAGTGTTTGAACTCTGAAGGTGTGTCTCTTATTTTCTCATAGGGTTGTAACCCCCTTGCACAAACTGGCCGGAGCAAACTGCAGAATCAGAGAGCTGCTCTGAACCAGCAGATCCTGAAAGCAGTGCGGATGAGGACGGGTGCTGAAAACCTTCTGAAGTAGGTGTCTCTGGTCTCGCCACCCTCAGTGGGAGAGCCCAGTCTCTCCAGGGGCCTATCCTTTCATTCCCGAAACTCCTAGGCCTGGCTCTTGGTTTCAGCTCTAGGTTTCCTCCTCTCTCCTGGCCCCTTGCCAAGAGCTTGGTTATGTTAAAGACGAATATTTTACCCAGATTGTTTGTGTGTTTGGGGATTGGGTGGGTGGGGGATGGGCACGCACAAGGGACCATCTGGCCTCAGTTTACTCAGCTGTCCTGATCAGAAGTCCAGTTATTATCCTGGTGGGTTTTTTTGCTGCTTTCTGTGGATCTTGTCCTTGTTCTTCTCTGCTTAACACTATGCCTGGTGTAGAATCACTGCTTGGTTCATGTTTATTGAACGTATAAAGAAAAGAAGGCCAAAGGAACAGGATAAATGAGAGGGGCCGGTGCAGCCCCATGCTCTTGGGCAATCAGGATTTTGCTATGGTGATAAAATAGTCACTTATCAAGCTCAGAACTTGGTGAACCCTTACCTGTGTCCAGGCTGCTGGACACACTCTCCACGCCCTGGAGAGTACAAGAAATGCAAGAAAAGTACAACATGCCGCTTCCTTTTGTTTACAAAAAGTGTAGAGTTTCTTCTTTCTTCAGAATTCTCAGGGTAACACTTGTCAGCCCCAGGCTGCCTTTCGCAGTGGCTGCTGTAGGTGGGCACCAAGCCTGCTGCTCAGGTGAGTGAAACAGGTGCCTCCTGGGGCCTCAGGAGGAAATGTGGAGGGTTTGCGGGAAGGGGCCTCATCTGCCTGCTCCAAACTGCAAAGTCCTTGGAGCTTCCTGGGGCTTTCAGAGATTGCAGGGGTGGAGTGTGGGGGTGCCGAAATGCCTCCAAGCATTTTTTTTTTGAGACAGACTCTCATTCTGTCCACCTGGGAAAGTGCTGTGGTGTCATAGCTCAAACTCCTGGGTTCAAGCAGTCCTCTTGCCTCAGCCTCTCAAGTAGCCGGGAGTATAGGTACCCACCATGATCCCTTGCTAGGTTTTCTATTTTTAGTAGAGATGGGGTCTTGCTCTTGGTCAGGCTGGTCTGCAACTACTGAGCTCAGATCCACCTGCCTCAGCCTCCCAGAGTGCTGGCATTACAGGTGTGAGTCACCACACCCAGCTTGTCTGCAAGAATAATGGTCATGGGTGGAGGCCTTGGGGAGCCCAGAGACTTCTGAGGAAGTTGCTGGAAAAACAGACAGAGTGTGTGTGCAAGATTCACGAAGTGTAGGAATCAGCCCCCCATGCACCCCTGAGCCCTCAAAAAAGCAGGGAGAGGGTTTCCTATCCTGATCTTGGGAGTCTGTTCATTTCTGAATTGGTCTGTATTTGCTCCTTAGGAAAGATCTCTGAAATATTAAGTGAGGAAAAGTAAATTAGAAAACAGCATGGCTTGAATACATGTGTATGTTTAAAGGATTTGTATAGGCCGGGCATGGGCAGCTCCTGTCTATAATCCCAGCACTCTGCGAGGCTAAGGCAGGTGGATTGCTTGACCTCAGGGGTTCAAGACCAGCCTGAGCAAGAGGGAGAGCTTGTCTCTACTAAAAATAGAAAAATTACCTGGACGTCATTATAGGCACTTGCAGTCCCAGCTACCCAGGAGGCTGAGACGGAGGATCACTTGAGCCCAAGAGTTTGAAGTTGCTGTGAGCTAGGCTGATGCTACAGTACTCTAGCCTGGGCAACATAGTGGAGACTCTGCCTCAAAGAAAAAAAAAAAAAGAAGAGAATTTGTTCATATGCTTTTGTATAGGCACCAAAGGGATATCACCAAGAATGGGACCTGGAAGTGACACTTACTTTTCATTTTATTTCCTTTTGTGTTCGAATGTGCTTTTACCAAGCACATGAAATTTATTTATTTATTTATTTAGGATGTCACCCATCCTGGAGTACAGGTGGATGATCACAGCTCATAGCAATCTCAAACTCCTGGGCTCTTTCTGGGTCAGCCTCCCAAGTAGCTGGGGCTATAGGTGCCTGCCAGTGCACCTGCTAATTCTTTTATTTGATATTTTTGGAAGAGTCAGATCTGGCTGTGTTGCTCAGGCTTGTTTTGACCTCTGGCCTCACCCAAGCCTCCCACCTTGACCTCCCAAAGTGCTGAGATACCGATGTGAGCCTTTGTGCCTTTATTCATTTCTTATTGTAAAATACTGCAGAAGAATAATATAAACAATCTCCCGAACCTGCCCTGTGCTCAGGAATTACTATGCTGGGCTGTGTGGGCTTTGTCCCTCATGGAATGGCAGAAGACTTGAGGTCCTGGGTGTCTGGGAACTTCTTCTCCAATTCCTTTTGTAACTGGATGCCAGGGAGGCTGTCACTGGAGAAGACTGTCAATATTATAATGTTTGAGCTTGTAAAATGTCTGACAATGTCCCCATCCCAAGTCAAGTTTGAACCTGGAGGTTGTCAGCTTCCTTACAGCACAGTAAAGCTCACGCAGCCATTGCAATTTGGGAGAGGCCCCCTAAATTTGGGGCCCCTGCTCTGTGCTGGGAAGGCTGTGGTTGTGCTGTGCTTTGCACCCTCAGGTTCTGGTTGACATGTGGCTAGGTCAGCTCTGTGGCCAAGGGGCAGCCCTGGTACTATGGCCTCTCCAAGGGTGGGCTACCACTGGTGTGCCTTTTCAGGGAGCACCTCTGGTTTTTGTTTTAGTTTTTTTGAGATGAGGTCTTGCTGTGTCTCACAGGCTGGAGTGCAGTGGCGTAATCATAGCTCCTTGTAATGTGGAACTCCTGGGCTCAAGCAATCCTCCCCCCCTCAGCCTCCCTAAGTGCTGGGCTGTGTTTGGGGTGCGGGGGATGAGGCTACACCCAGTCCACACGAGACCTTGCTGTCGTGTCTTATGTGTGTGGGGCGGGAATCTTACTAATACACAAGTAAACAAATCAGATCATGCCTGGAAGCAAAGTGTTCTAGGGTGTGATGAAGCAAAATGTAGATGTTGGCTTAGGGTGGCACACAGCCTCAGAGACACGAGCGTGGCGAGGGAGGCTCTGACCAGGGCATCCAGACGGGAACTAGGGCAGCTTAGTCTGTCTTGTTCTGTTAACCAGCAAATATGCTCTCAGAGGCTGGAGGCCGCTCAAGCTCATTGTCAGACTGGCAGGTGTTAAACGGGTAGGGGTGGGGTGGGGTTGTTAATGATTCTCACAGTGACCTAAAAGTACAAAGTGCCTCTCTCTGGAGAATGTTGTCAGAGGAAACCCTGTAGGTATTTATTAATCTGACTCAATCGGCACCAACGGTTTCCCGAAAACAAACAGGGCATTTGGCCAAGCCCAGCTCTGGGCCTGTGGTGTCCCTGGGCAACTGATTACGTGACTGTCCCTGCAGGCAGTAGGTAGTTTCAGTCCTAAATCGGGCCCTGCTGTCCTTCTGCCATCCGTCTTCTGATTCCCAGGTTTCCCACCACAGTCCTCAAATTAAAGTAGGGCAGTTGGAAGGGAGCAGTGATGGAAGTGGGGGTCCCCTGCATTCATCAGGAGCACCGTGGCTGTGAGAAGCTGCGTTGGTGCCTCTCCTCTTTTTTTTCTCTTTTGTTTCTCTCTCTCTTTTTTGCTTTTTTGAGACTGCAGGCACTCTGCTAGTTTTTCTTTCTTTTTTTTTTTTTGAGACAGATTCTCACTCTGTCACCCAGGGTAGAATGCCGTGGCATCATAGCTCCCAGCAACCTTAAACTCCTAGGTTCAAGAGATTCTCTTACGTCAGTATCCTAGGCTCCTGCTGCAATGCCCAGCTAGTTTTTCTATTTTTTAAAAAGTAATTAATTAATTTTTTTTTGGCAGTTTTTGGCTAGGGCTGGGTTTGAACCCACCACTTCCAGCATGTGGGGCCGGCACCCTACTCCTTTGAGCCACAGGCGCCACCTAATTAATTTTTTTTTTTTGACACAGACCCTCACTATGTCGCCCTTGATAGAGTGCTGTGGCGTCACAGCTCACAGCAACCTCAAACTCAGGCTCAAGCTATTCTCTTGCCTCAACCTCCCAAGTAGCTGGGACTACAGGTGCCCTCCAGAATGCCTGGCTATTTTTTGTTGCAGTTGTTATTGTTTGGCAGGCCTAGGTGGGGTTCAAACCTTCTAGCTCTGGTGTGTATGGCTGGCGCCCTAGCCGCAGAGCTATAGGCACTGAGCCTAGTTTTTCTATTTTTTTTTTTTTTTTGAGACAGAGCCTCAAGCTGTCCCCCTGGGTAGAGTGCCATGGCATCACAGCTCACAACAACCTCAACTCCTGGGCTCAAGTGAGTCTCTTGCCTCAGCCTCCCAAGTAGCTGGGACTACAGGTGCCCACCACAACACCTGGCTGTTTTTTGGTTGTAGCTGTCATTGTTGTTTGACAGGCCCAGGCTGGATTCGAACCCGCCACCTTAGGTGTACATGGCTAGCGCCTTAGCCATTTGAGCCACAGGCATCAAGCCTGTTTTTCTATATTTAGTAGAGACGGCATCTCACTCTTGCTCAGGCCGGTCTTGAACTCCTGAGCTCAAGCGATCTTTCCACCTCAGCCTCTCAGAGTGCTGGGATTACAGGTGTGAGCCAAGCCACCTGGCTACCTCTCCTCTTTCCTGATTCATACCAGATAAGATTTTATCAGCTTCTTGCAGTTTGATTAGGAAGACATCAGGTTTTTCTTTTTTTTTTTTTTGACAGAGTCTCATTTTGTCACCCTTGGTAGAGTGCAGTGGCGTAACAGCTCACAGCATCCTCAAACTCTTGGGCTTAAGCCCAAGGACAGCCTCCCAAACAGCTGGGGCTACAAGCACCTGCCTCAACACCTGGCTATTTTTAGAGACCAGGACTTGCTTAGGCTCAGGCTGGTCTCGAACCTGTGAGCTCAGGCAATCTACCTGTCTCAGCCTCCCAGAGTGCTAGAATTATAGGCGTGAGCCACCATGCCCTGCTTGGTATCAGGTATTTTAAAGGTATATTTTAGGCTGAGCAAAGACTATGTTCTTTCTTGTCTC